ATTATCTACACCCCAGTAACATTTTTTTTTGAAAGTTCCAGTAACATTTTTAAGCCTATTTAAACAAAAACAAACAATCTCCAATGTTAGTAAAAGATAAATTCAATATTCTGAATTGTTTATTGAACACATTTATTGTAATCAAACTATATCATAATTTAACATAATTGTACTGATTTAATCGCAACTTATTGAAACGAAAACAATCTCCTATGTTAAGAGAAGAAGATTCTTATATTCTAAATTGCACATTGTATAGAGGTATACGCGCACACACACACACACAAAGCCAATAGTATTGTAATCTAATTGTATCATAATCTAACTAAACCACATAGATTTAACCTACATTTTGTATAATTGCTGTAGATAGTCAATTTTGGTTAATACTTAGTCTCTAAAAAATCATTTTATCGCGTAACATTATATAAAGAATAATGAGAATAACCATTATAAGTGAAGCACTACTTCACGCAGAACAACTAGAATAAGTGAAACATTACTCCATGTGAAACAATTAATACAAGTAGAATAACTATTTTGTACAAAATAACAATTTCACACAGATGACAGTGAAAGTAATCCGAAATAGGTGGCAGGGTTCATGAGTTACTTTTGTATTGGGATGTTCCGGAGAATTTGGCTTGGTGGCTCAGATATGAAGGTAGTTAAGAGGTCTTTCTTAACCTTTTCCTGAAGTACAAGTGTTTTTCTGCTTTTTCCTTATTCTCTTATACTTGTTCATGTACAACCTTTTCTCTTGTACCTGTTCATAAACAGCTTCCTCTCTTGTACCTGTTCACGTATAACTTTTCTTCATTAGCCCATACTCGAGAACAAGTCTTATTAAATATAATTATTTCAATGGTCACATAATAAGTTTTTAACCGTTATTCAACATTAACTCCCAGTAACGGTTACCTAATATTAAAACTCTCCTTAATGATATTATTCATTACGTGTATTAAAATCTTTTCTTGTAACTGTTATTTTTAACACTATATATATAGAGCATGCACAACTCAAAAAGGAGCTTTTTCAGAATGATTGGACTCTGGCTCATAACTTTTCTCCTTAGCCTATTTTCACTTAGAACACTTACTCTTTTCTTATTCTCTTCCACCTGTCACGACATTTAGTGGTTCAGGAACTGCTCCAATCTTCCTCTCCATCACCTCTGGTACATCCCTTACTTGTTTGCAATGCTTCCTCTTCTCATCACAAGAACCCCATTTACAATTGCTATAATTATATTAACACTCCTTTAAAACTCAATATGGTATGGTAGGCGGTGACCTTAATGATGTGGTAAAACATTTAGCAGACTAACATGCAATATGTAGCAAGTAGTTGCAGATGACACAACAAAAGATGTGGGCAAATAACGCAGCAGAATATGTGATAAGTAGTTGATTGATAGATAGATGACGTGACAGAATACGTTGCAGACTTAAACAGTATGGAAACATGGTTGCAGACTTAAACAATATGGAGATATGATTTCAAAAGACGATAAAATAGCTCTGATGCCATGTTAGCAAAAGAAAAATCTTATATTATAAATATATATTGTACGAAGTGTGTGTGTGTATATATGTATATATATCTATATATATATATAACGCTAACAGTATAATTATTTAATTATATCATTAATAGTATCATAATTTAACTGCATTACTGATATTATCATAATCTAGTTATTAATTTAATCTATAATATGTAGAATTACTATAATTATTCTTATCATCCTACATGCTTTTCCATAACTCTAGAATAGACTTAGGCATTTTGCCAATAAACTCTGCCATTTCTCTCATATAAGGCAAATAATAGCCTCCCAGGCAATGCCAAGGATGATCTTCAACAAAGCCTTACCTATCAACATGGTCTTAGCCTAAAGAAAATCTTGAGTGCCAATCGCCAACAGGTTTCTGAATTCCACAAAGCTTATAAAACCAACATCCAAAAGCTGCTCAGAGTATATGACAAAAAATCTCGTAAAGCAAAATGCTGGCAAATCTGCCATACGTTGGAAATCTCTTTCTTTAATTTTACTTTTTCAGCAAACGATTTCATTGGTCATCATGTGAAATTCTTGAACAAGTTTCAAGACCATTGGAAATTGACTCCAAACTTGTCTCCTTCTGCTTCGTAGTTCATACAAGTACATCAAAATATGTCACCATCCTAGTTTTCAACAACACTATCTAAAGTGGGTTAATTAAGTAGCTGTACCAATAAGTAGCATCCATCTTGATGTCACTAGGTTTGAGAAATTGTAGGGTTTGCATGATTCAAAATGAAAATGAAAGGGTTTAAAATTTTTAGAAGGAAAAAGGGAAATATGTGAGGACTTGCATATTAATTGGATTGATTTTCCTATTCTTTTGCCATAGTTAATGACTTATCAATTAATAAGACTTCTTATATTTTAATTAATAAATAAAATAAAAAAATTCAAGAATTTAATGATTATCTAAGTAGTTTATATCAATCATAATTTAAGTATTTTCCATTTACTTTAGTTTGCCTTGATTTTTAATATTCAAACACTCAATGAAACTTTATTTTAACCATACATAATCCTATAATCTCTAAAATTTTTAAATTCGTGACTCATTACGTGTGAATTTGATCAATTAACTTTACATTAATTAATTTATTTTTTAAATTAATTAATAACGAAGTTATGAAAACTTATCAATCACTTCTTGCAGGGTCACATTTTTGGTGTGCTCTCATTCTAATTAATGGAAATTTTATTCTCAAAAATATTTCGATATTTATAGGAATAAAAGATGCCTACAACTAGGATAAAGAGGAAAAGGGCACAGAAACTGAAGAAGGAAAAAGCTGAAGGTAATAGCTGGAGATCCTATGTTTTCCCTTTGACACTTTGCATCCAACTAGAAAACGACAATGCCATGCACCTTCATTTTCTGACAACCCACACTTTGCATTCATGAAATTCAATTAATCAACAAGCAAATATGTAGTTTTGCTTTTTCTTTTCAGTATTTTAATCAGAAAAGAATAAAGGGTATCTGCTAAATTTTTAATTCAATGTAAAAAAGGCAGTACTAGCTGGGTTGAAAAGCATGATAAACGTGAGTTGGCGTTAACTTCAACATTGGGTATCATACACAATTTCTTTTGCTATAAATAGGGAGGTAGAGGAACAAGTTTTCTTCACCTAGCCTTTAGTTTTGTACTTAATTTATTAGATTAGAGAGTTCAGAGATCTAACCAATGGCAACCCTCATTGCTCCTGACCACCCTTCTGCTGTTGAAGATGCTGAAGCCCTTCGAAAGGCTTGTAAAGGTAATCTTAATTTCACTAATTACATGTGTAGAGATATACATTTCTCTTCCTCATCATGGCAAGCATACCAAATTCACTGTGATCTATATAGTAACATATATATATATATATATATATATATATATGATTTGCTAAACATAGTTGCTTTTGCAGAGATTCATTCATACCATTGATAGACAAAACCGTCCTTGTCTATAAAGGATGAGGCTACCATGGTTACCATAAAAAAAACATGAAAAATCATATTTCTACAATGAGTTTTATTGATTATTATTAAGAATTATATCATATAGTTCTTTATCAATGTCAGCAAGGTCACTTGGGTTTAGGGTATATCATACAGTATGGACACCTGGATTGCTAATTTGTATAGAAATAATTATATAATATATGATACAATTTGTGATAACTATTAAAGTAATTGGTCTCATTCTATCTTCCAATTAAAGAATTGAAGTCATATCTAGTAACTATTTAATTATCTTGTGGGAAGGTTCCTGTTGATGTCACCAACGCCACATACACTAAATTTCTACATGGTAGGTACAGGTTTTCTTGTCCTTTAATGCCACCTGGCTTCCTATGTCAAATTCTCTTTTATCTTTTTTGCCTTTTGATTTTCTTTTATCCAATTCTTTTCTGTTCTATTTTTCTTTCCTGGTGAAAAGAAAAAAGAAGACAAACTGCTCCAATTAATCTCTGTATATAGAACTAATTTTTTCTTGATTAGTTGTATAGGTATATGCATAGACATCCTACAGCTAGCCCACGTTATAATTAAGAAAACTTTGCTGAACAATGAGAAAGATCTGATCAAAAAACTTTCAGAACAATGGCTTAAAAGAGGGGAATCTGATAAAGATTAGAAGATTATATGTAGTTCACCTAACACTGTTAAATGAAAAAGATCAAAAGATAGCAACATAGGGAAAGCATTTATTAGATTAATATATAGGGAAAAGAGTGTAATAGGGAAGACTTCAAGAGAGGAACAGATGTGATATGAACAATGACATCTTTCTAGCTACTTACTGCTAACATCTATTTTTTTTTTTTTCATCAGCCTGAGTTGGATCTCTGTATTAGATTTTACCAGATACAAACTATTTAGTTCACTATCTATGAGCAAATTAAGTAATATTAACCATTTCATTTGTCGATTGGAAAAGGAATTCGAACCCGGTCTAGGAAATACGTATATCTATCATTAAGATAAATACTCAAAATTTACACCCGATTTTTAAGTAGGGATTCATTCATCTATACCATTGAGTGTTTATTTTTTGAAAGAGAGTAAATAGCAGAAGTGATTTTTCTTTTTCCTTTTAGTGCAAAAGGAAAGTACCATGACTTAAATTAACTTACCATTTCTGCTCCATTTCTTGTCCTTTCCCTACCACATGAGTCCAGCTTAATTAGCAAAGCAGAAAAACTTTTACTGATCAATTCCATATACTTGCAGTCTATAAAGCTACAGTAAGAAGAATTATATGGTTGGAATTGAGAGTTGATATCCTTTGAAATGGAAGCATCAGTTACCAGCTAGGAAAGTATTGTTTGTATATGTTACAGCTAAGCATAAATTGGAAGATCATAAATATGCACTAAAATCAATATAGCATATTTCATTCCAAGAAACCCAAGACCTGACACATTAATTTTTCATAAATTAAGGCCAGCTAGAAAGAGTATAGTAAGGAAACTAGTATTATAAATAAGGGTCTTAAGGTAAGTCTCCTTCAAAATTCATTGACAATCTCTAGAGACTCAGAGGGAAAATAGTCCAAAACAAATGGCTACCATCGATGTTCCTCATCAGGTTTCATTTCTTGAAGATGCTGAAGCTCTTCGAAAGGCTTGTAAAGGTTATTCCATTTACAATTGACAATTTTCTAGTCTTAGCCCTTTAATATAATTAGATGACAATTTTCTATGAAATGATCATTGTTATTCTTATAATACTTCAGACTGGGAAGAAAGATTTATGACTTACACATGTTTTTCTCCTTGTAACTTTGCTAGGATGGGGGACTGATGAGAAGGCTATAATTTCAGTTCTGGGTCATAGAAATGCAGCTCAGAGAAAGCAAATCAGGCTAGCTTACGAAGAGCTGTACCAGGAAGATCTCATCAAGCGTCTTGAATCGGAGCTTTCTGGTGATTTTGAGGTTAATACACCAGGCCCCATCATCATTGGCATTTTCTGTTTCATTTCTGAAGTATTAGTGTATCAGTTTTTTGATAGTGTTTTTGATTTGTTTGAACATAGAAAGCGGTGTACCGTTGGGTACTGGATCCAGCAGATCGAGATGCTGTCCTAGCTAATGTTGCCATAAAGAAAATTAGCCCTGATCACCATGTGATCATCGAAATTTCGTGCACCAGATCCCCTGAAGAGCTGTTGGCTCTGAGGAGAGCCTATCAGGCTCGATACAAGCATTCCCTGGAGGAAGATGTTGCTGCTCATACCAAGGGAGACATCCGAAAGGCATGCCCTGATCAACACCGTTTTCTTTTCTTCATTTTATGGTTGATGAAACCTTTAAAGGATTGAGTAATTAACGAAGGTTTTTGGTTGATGTTGCAGCTCTTGGTTGCCTTGGTGAGTGCATTCAGATATGATGGGGAGGAGATAAATACCAGACGAGCAAATTCTGAAGCCAATATTCTTCATGATGCTATCAAAGACGAGGCTTTCAACCATGAAGAAGTTATCAGGATCCTGAGTACAAGGAGCAAGATGCAACTCATGGCAACTTTCAACTGCTACAGAGATGATCAAGGCACTACCATCACCAAGGTACACATAAAAAGAGCGCCCTTTTTTCATTAAAGTTTCAATAGCTTAAAGCCAAACTATGCTCTCATATCAAATGTATTCTCTACCCTTTCCTTCTTGTTTCTCCAGAAATTGCTAGGTGAGTCGGGTGATGAATTCCTGGTGGCACTGCGTACTGCAGTTCGATGCCTCAATGACCCGAAAAAGTACTTTGAAAAGGTTTAAGTCTTACAGGATTCTAATACCATTTTGGTACCCTTTTTCATCATAAGCATTGATATATGTACTCAAAATTTGCCATTCTCTTGCAACAGGTTTTGCGCAATTCAATCAAAGGGATCGGAACTGATGAGGATGCTCTTACCAGAGTGATCGTTACAAGGGCTGAAAAGGACCTGAAAGAGATCAAAGACCTTTACCACAAGAGAAACAGTATGCCTCTTGAACAGGCTGTCGCCAAGGACACCTCGGGCGATTACGAGGCCTTCCTTCTAACTCTGTTGGGGAAGGAAGATTGATATCTTCTTCGGCCATTTGCTGGTTTTAATTAAGTGGTGTTATTTACTTTGGTGGAACCTTGTTGATCCAAGCGACTACTTTCTTGAACCCTGTTTAAGTTTCTCTGTGGCGTGACAAAATTTATCTATGTATGTCCATTTCGTATGGTGTTTTTAATGGTGTGGAAGGTCTTGTTGTCCAATGGCATATACAGTGAGCTTCGAACAACATCTGAATGGTTCATGATGCTGTATCCCACATCAGATAAAAATGCGATTTAATAAGAACTCGCCAGAGTTGAAAGCATCTAGTGTTAGGCTTGATAAATGGAGACAACTAGCTAAGCACAAAAAGTACATAGAAGGTCTTAGGCCATATCCAGTGAGCTGAGTCATAGCTGACATCAAACTCTAGCAAAACAACAGAACTACTAAAGCTACTTTTGACCAAACATTTATTGTATCAAACTTCGATGAATTCAAAGTTGCTCTTGTCATCGCATACCAACACACACAACATTCAAAGGGGAACGAAAAAGGTTGTATGTTCCCATTCATGGTAAGATGCATTTCCACCAAGAGTTCAACCGGTTAGGGGACAAGTTTTACTTTGAAATTATATACTAAACTATCGTAAACAACTACAGAACTGTATTATTGATACAGTATCATTGATTATTCCTAATTAGAAAGGCAAAAAACTCTAACAACTTATGCTAATCACAGTCTCCTACAATGCAGATTGGAAAATCATCTCTGCAAGTTCCTGCAACAACACAAACAAATAGTCCTTTTAGATTTGATTCATACTGAGAAAACATCATACTAGACAATAATCTAGAATAAAGCAATGCACAACGGCACATATTTAAAATAAGTTCGTAAAAAAATCAAAAAACTTATTCATATAGAAAGAAGCTTGAAATGGAACATGTTACTCTTGACTCTGTGAAAATAATTGTCTTGTGGCATTTTTATAAACCCCAACCCCAAATCCCAACCTCTACTACTCGATATTTGAGCAACATGGTCATCATGGTCAATCATGAAGTTAGTAAGCCTATAAATATTGTAAAATGTAATATATCTAACTACCTGCTTGGCTGAAGCAACCTTGGGCTCGCCCCATTCCTTGGCTAGCTTCTCAAGCATTTCAAAATCAGCTTTCCCAGCCTGTTGGATGATGCATTACTTACATTAGCCATAAAAAATTACGTATTTTACACCAAAAAGGAAGATATTACAGAAACACATCACCTCAATTTCAGCACCAATTTCTGTGTCAAAGCTGGAATATCGCTTACGAACAAGCTCAGCCAAAGAACCATCCTATAATCAACAAATGCATTAATAAAGCAAAATAGGGAGAAAGTGAACGCGTAAATAAGTGGAGGAAACTTGATATATAATATATTACCTCAATTAGCTTGGCAGCATTTCGGAGTCCACGGGCCAAGGTGTCCATTCCACTAATATGAGCAATGTACAAGTCCTCAACATCCGTACTCTCTCTCCGTCTACAAAATCATAAAAACTCAAAATTTTTATCTCAGCAGGATGAAAGCAATCAGAGTCTAGGTAGATACAATCACAGGTGAAAGAAAATTAACAAGGAAAAATCACACTCACAATTTTGCATCAAAGTTGAAGCCTCCTGGTGCTAATCCTCCCTGTAATAAACAAATGTGAAAACACCAACTGTAACCTCATTGGGAGTCAAACTCTCATTGAACTATCAAAAGTAAATAAAGACAATCCTTCACATACATTTCTTATCACACTTAGCATAACCATAGTTGCCTCTCCAATATCTGTCATGAACTGATCTGTATCCCAACCTGTATTGCAAACAAATCCATATCTTAAATTCTAAGAGGACTGTAGTTCCAACTTTGTGAACCGAAAGTAAGAAATTTTCAAAAAATAGGATGCTTTTAGTTATTGAATAGTACCAATCTGAGGATCGCCAGTGTTCGCATCAATATTTCCTAGCAATCCATTGATTCTTGCAGTCTCAAGATCATGATGACAGCTGCAAATTACACAAGCACCATAGATTGGCAGGGGAAATTTACATGTATGCAGTTGTTGGACAATTTTACTCAGAAATAATAAGCAAGAATCACAAAATTGAAAGAATGGAACATCACAAACCTGTGACCAGAGAGGGTGGCATGGTTGCATTCAATGTTAAGTTTGAATTCTCCTGTAAAAGGAAAGAGTGAACAGTGAGTCAAAATGCAACTGCCAACCAACAGAGACAATAGCTAACATTGATTAGAGCTGATCAACTAAAATTTCTGATGTTCTGCAAAGCATGGTTTGCAACATGAGGTATTTGAATAACGATGACAGTTTACTTCATTACAGTTTCTGACCACGGACGACAAAATGTTTCTACATAAGAAAATACCATAAGGCCCAATAAATTCCAAAATAGGTGATATTTTTCTCCGGGCTGAGGGTTACGCCTTCTATCGTATTTTTTCTCAGCCAGCTACTCTTACCATTGAATAATCAGTTTCTTCTTTGTTCTCCTGATAAAAGCATGACTTAAACACTTGATTTTATCTAAAAGGGTGCAGTTTTCACTTTTCAAACAGCACATATAGTCACATTCATGAAATCAACTCTTGCGTTACCAGGTAACAGTTATCTATGAGACAAGTCCCCTTCAATGCACAAGTTTCTTGTTTGGCCAAACGAATGGACAAGTTTAGGTTATACTTTATTTAGCCAATGCATGCTGAAAATTAGAACCATGATTATTAAAAACAACAGAGTTAACAAAGATCATTTGGAAGGCAACATTAGGGATCAGATGAGAATTCATTAGAGCTCACCAAGCAGCCCGTATTTTCGCAAGAAGTTAGCTGTTGTTGCAGCATCCCAGTCATACCTGGAAAAATTAAGCATAGTTCATACAAAGAACAGAAGGGACTTAATTGACATTACTAAGCACAAAAGGGATTGTTGAAACATACTGATGTTTGGTAGGTTCTTGAGGCTTAGGTTCAATCAGTAGAGTCCCTGAATCAAATTACGTTCCATTACAATTTCAGAAAAATGGAGAAAAAGAATGATAAAGAACAGTAGGGAAGAAATGCAGATTGTAGAAGACTCCTTTGGTCCAGAACAGCATCTTTTTCTTTTTTTGTTACCTTCTTCCTACCCACCCATATTTGCAGGAAGGAGAATTATCATACAGTTTTTAAGATTATTATAATGGAAAATTACCATTGAATCCAATCTTCTTCTTGTAGGCAACAGCACCTTCTAGAAATCTTGCCTGTCAAAATAAATAACAATAGTTTAAGCTGATGAGAACTAAGACACCACATCAGAAACAACTTCAAATAACTTTCAATCAGGAAAAATGCAAAAAATATAGTAAATCTTTTAACTACATTAAAACTAACAAAAGCTGACATTGAAAAACATAACAAATTACCAGATGATCAAGCTCTCTTTCCATGTCTGTGTTCAAGAGTGATTGATAACCCTCACGACCACCCCAAAAGACATAGTTTTCACCCCCTAGATAATGTGTGACCTATAGAACAACCAGAGCAGTGTATAAGCAATTATAAGGAATAAAAACAATGTAACCGTAAAACTAAATGCACAAAAATAGACAAAGTTTCCTCTGCCACCCACCTCCATGGCTTTCTTGACTTGAGCTGCAGCATATGCATATACACCCACTTCAGAGCTGCAAAGCAAACACAGATGTAAGTATTACGTTCATCAAGGGTCATGGCAATGACATTCTATTCAGGATATATGCAAGACACTCAGTTAAGGATACCTAGTAGCACCACCATGCATGTAACGAGGATGCATAAATAGTTGAGCTGTACCCCACAGAGGACGGATCTTGTCTCCCTGCATTGTCAAGCAACAGAGATGTTCAAGAAACACATAACATAGTTATGTTTTAAGCAAGAAACACTTATCAAGCAGTGTATATTGAAGCCCTACATGCAAGCATAATGTTCCATACAAGAAAATATGCCAAAACAAGTTGCCAAATTATTGTGAAGAGAAAAAATAGATTCTTAGTCTATTAGAAGAGAAAATATAGCTAAAAAAAGGCAAGCCCCAATTAACAAGCCTTCTCCAATCCCAAACTATTAATACAAGATTGTAATTTTTCTATTTCTTTCCATCCCCAGGTAGGCAACCAAGCACTCAAATGAGACAATGACACTCTACTAGGACGCCTAGTAACTTATCTTTATACTTCTTTAACAAACAATAAACTAGTTCAACTTGTTTACATGATATGCATATGTTGACTGTAAATGACATGGCATGGGCAGGCTTAGATAATAACAGGCACAGTGCACACAACCAGTGTAATATTGATTGATAAATCCACACTGTTAAAAACTAAATAAAAATAAATAAGTAAATAAGATGTAAAGAGATCTAATCTTAAAGAGATGTTCAAGAACGTGTAGAATTATATGAAAGAAAAAAAATAGGAGATTAGGCACTTAAATAAGAGAGAATCCATTTAACACTTCTTTGCACATTCAGCTAGTTACCTGAAGTTCTTTAGCAAGGGCAACCACCTCATCCAAGTTTGCATTAGCTTCCTACAACAAACACAATAATACAATTATTGATAGACAATTACAAAAAGTAAAAGGATGGTTGTCAAGGCAGTTTAGAAGAACCAGTTCATTTCCAAATCCAAACATTCAAATATAAAAGCAACTTTAAGTGCTAACAAAAAACTTATCTGACCTCTAGGGTTTTGCCATCAGGAGCAATGTCCCTGTCATGAAAACACCACCGATCAACTCCAAGCTTGTTTATGAATTCAAAGTTGGCTCTCACTGCAATTTGTTTTAAGGAACAAAGAAGATTACTGCATGTCACAAATTAGTCTTAATCAGAGACAGGTAGGCAATAACAATCAATCTTACTTCTTCTTTTGGCCATAGCAATGGAATTGGTACCATCTTCCCATGGCCAATACTTAGTGGGTGCACCAAAAGGATCAGCACCTGTCCCACGGAATGTATGCCAAAATGCAACACTAAATCTCAACCAGTCCTACATCATTGATAACTTGTCAGAAACCATGAACATCTTGATAAATAATATAAGTTAAGAATAGAAACCAACCTTCATTTTCTTCCCAAGAATCTCCTCTTCCGCATTGTACCATTTGTATGCAAGTGGATTTTTGCTAGAAGTACCCTGCAGTCAAAATCTCTGTTAAATATCATATGTCTGTATAATTAACCTATGATAATCACAACTCTGTTCACTTTGAGAAACATATTTCTGATTTCTAATAAAATCTTCCAACAAGAGAAAAATGTAGCGTTTCAGTTATAACAAAGTAAAAATTACACCCCTTTAAATTTTAATTAACCAACACAAGTACATACTTTTGCATATCATTGGGATGTAGCCATCTTTACCTCGTACTTAATTTTGGGAATTCCAGGGAAAAATTCCCCTTCCCAATCATCATCTTCAGCACATTTTCCACCAAGATCAGCAGGGCATGTTTGTGGTACAGCATTCTACGAACAAAAACATTCCAATTCAGAAAAAAAATAAAAGAAGAAAAGTAACATAATACAATCTACATAAAGAATACTATAAAGGAAGATCTTTTACCACTATAAAAGAGACCACATTCATACAAAGAAGTAATAATAAAATCCTGCCAGCCATATTTTTCTTTTCCAGTGTCATGCAAACTAAACCCTGCAAAAACATAACCAACCAAACAAATAAATACTAATATCAACTAATAATTATCCCAAAAAAAAGTATTTTTAAGGATTATCCATCATCATAAATCACATAAAAATCGGTCAAACATCAAACTTTAGAACAAAAGAGAAAAAATTAAACTTTAACAATCAGAAACTAATGATCTAAGAACAATCAACTCGAAAAGGTAATTAGCAAAATCAAATTTTTGCAGATAAAAGATAAAGAATCTGTTTTTCTTTTCTCTGATGAATACCCATCATCAGATATCACACAAAACCAACAACAGCATACAGAAAAATTGAAAATTTTGAACCATACCCATCATCGGAAATCGCATGAAAAATCAAGGTTCATTCTCAATTTTTTTTTTTTATAAAAAAAAAAACCAGCTGAAAGATAGAGGACTTACAGATTGAAAAACAGAGACGGGGGTTTGAAAAGGAGGAGAAAAGAGCTGGAGAAGAGTGGAAGAGACTCAGTATTTATATGTAAGTTGAAGAAAAGAGTATCGGATTAGAAGTGTGTTAAAGCGTAATTATTTTCAAATTGATTTTCAAATGATTCGTTTGGATAAGGATAGGTACATTGCGTCACCAGGTGTAAGTCCTTTTTTAATAGCTATTAATTAGGAAATTAGGGTTTTTTTCCTTTTTTAAATACTAATAAATAACATAAAAAAAGATAAAAATATATTATAAAATTTATATTTAATATACCGTCCAGATTTGATATCTTTCAAATAATCAATTATGATTTTGTTAATAAATAAATTTAAATATTAAAAAATTTAAAAATAAATATTTATAATTTTTAAGTATATTTATTTTGAATTGTAATATGTGATTAAATAATTACGTATAAGTATTATACTTAAATATAAATTTATATTATATTATATTATATTAAAAATTTATTGATAATTTAACATATGTCTAACTAACAGGGAGTCAAATTCTTAAATTATGCAATAAATATACAATTCTAACATATTCATCCTTCTCGCCTTATGAAATTTATTTATATTAATAAATAAAATTATTTTTGCATTTAGGACTAATTTTGTTTGTCACAAACACTATGTATTATTTTTTTATTGTAATTTTCTTTAACACAAACACTTTTTATTATTTTTATTATTAAATTGAATATTTAAGTGTAAATATAACACCATTCATTATTTTATATTTTTTATTAAATTTAATATTTGTGAAAAATAAGAAAAAAAAAATGAAATCCGATGAACCTTCTCTTTCAACCCTTTAGACTAAGGTTTCTATGAGATAACAACATACACGTATGTCTCACGTGGCAGTTTCCTATTTTGTTAAATTTCCTTTGCTAAAGTTGAATTTCTTATCCAATATGGTTGAAATACTACTTTATAAAGAACTTATGCTTTGAATTTCATTTACCTTTTTTTCTTTTTAAAAAATTGGAATATATGCTTAATTACTTACCTATGTTCCAAGTTTATTAACATTATTTACAATTATTTTTTTTATAACTCGACAGATTATTTAATAGATTCAAAATTACTTATTGTAAAATCAAATAAACTAATCAAATGACACAAATTTCATATTTAATGTTATGATTAAAATGTAAATTTACTACTTTCATTAGTTAGGTCAGAGTCATCACTAATCTTTTAATTGGCCTAATTTTACTATAATACTTTTAATTTGGAAGCGAATTTAGCCCAATTGTAGAAAAATATTTCAAAATAAATATTTATTTTGAGAGATTTTTAAATTTTTATCTATATAGATGAATTGAGTTTCGTTTTGTTAAAGTGTATAAATATTTTACACTGACAGTACATCAAATGTACACTTATTTACTCTGTGATTGGTTCAAATTTACAACTAGTACTTCAATTAATTTAATTTTATTACTGCACTTTTAATTTTGAAACAAGTTTGATGGTATTGTTGAGAAATTGTTAACAAAATATTCAATTGGAAATTGTTTTATAATTTTAAAAAAAAATTTGAAGATAACATGACATAAGAAAAATCTCCAATTCTACGTGTCCTCAAGCAATAATATTACCTTCAAAATTATTGCAAAAATCAAACATTTTTAATTTTTGTGTCAATTTTTGCCTTTTCATTATACTACGTCATTTTTTCTGAACGAAAAATAAGATAATATGTAATTGAGCCAATTAAAAGCTTAATAATAAATTTAAACTACCAACATATTAAAATAATAAATTTACACCTTAATTTCTAATATTATTTCCAATATATATAATTTTAATTTAGTTGCTTCCTCGAAGAAGTAACATTTTGAAGTAAATGAAATGGAATTTGAAGTTTCCTAGTGGTATAAAGCTAAATTAAATAAAGTGATAATAAAAAATAGCTAATTTAATAAATAATTTCGCACATTCAAACCACCAAAGCAGATTGCTATTCCCAAAAGTGTTAACAACTTAAATTTGATTAATAAGAGCATATTATTTAAATTTGATTTAAATATTTAAGTTAATAATAAAAATATATTTTTTATATTTAAAAAGATATAATATTAAAATTTTTTATTTTTGAAACTAAAGAGAAAAAAAAGGTTATAACCCATTGTGAAGAATCAAGATCGGTCTCTAAGCTCATCCGTAATAATATTTTCTTAAGACCCCATTCACCGATCATAAATATATTTTATTTTTAAATTTATGAATTAAAACATCTCATTTACCACATTCTATTCAATTTTAGTTGCATAAAATATATATAAAACTCTAATATATTCATGAAATTTATTTATTTATTTATTTACCATCCTAATGATTATGCAAAGTAGTAGTAACTTTGTTTGACATAAGCACTTATTTAATTGAGTATTTAAATGCAAATACAATTCCCTTCACCATTCCGTGAATAAAGTTTGGCTTGCGGCATCATCTTTGTTGGTTGTTGACGTATTTTTTGAGTTGCTGTAGACACAGAGACCTTGCCTTTGAAGTCTTAATCCTTTGTTTCAGATACAGAACGAAGAATTGCTCCGATGCCAATCATGGACAAGGAATTGCCAGAAATCCTGGTCATGGAAATCCTTTTGAAGCTTCCTGTTAAATCCTTGATGAGATTCAAGTGTGTTTGCAAGTCCTGGTACTCTTCTTTTCAAACTTCCTATTTTATCACCAATCATAGAAACGATAACCTCAATCTCCTTTTCTTCAAGGGTTTTCATAAGGGCCCTCACCTCGTCCCACTTGCAACTAAAATAGAAATTAAGAAACATGGTGGACTTGAGTTTAATGTGAAAGTCCAGGAAAATATCCGTATTCCTGTCTCTCTCTCTGGTTGTGGTTGGCGACTCAGAGTGTTTGATAGTTGGCGACTCACAGTGTTTGGTCCGTGTAATGGCTTGCTTTGTTTGCACGATGGTTCTAGGATTACCCTCTGGAATCCTTCCACGAGAGAAGTTAAGCTCCTTCCTGAATCCCCTATCCTATGTCCTCCTTCTGCTGATCGCATTTATTTTTTTTGCATTGGGTTCGGGTTTGATCGCAAGTCAGATGATTACAAGATTTTAGTGAAGGTTGCTCATCATGTCCGGTCAGAATTTATATGTCTAATTTATTTATACAGCCTAAATACAAATTCTTGGAGAGAAATTCCTCACCCTAACGTCTTTATTAACCCCCTTTCGTTTAACACTTACATAAACGGCATTTACTATTGGAAAGTAGCCTGTAGTTATGTGATCCTTTCTTTCGACATGGCTGAAGAGGTTTTCTCGACATTACCCTTCCCGAATTTCGCTAAGTCTAATGCTGGGTGTTGTTGGCGTATGACTTCCTTTAATGAAGCTCTTGCTACAATTGTTTATCCAAAGGAAGGCATGGAAAAATGTTACGACGTATGGGTCTTGAATGGATATTCATGGACTAAACAACTTACAATTGGGCCTATTCTAGGAGTCCAGAGGCCGTTGGCATTGTGGAAAAATGGAGAAATGTTTTTGCTAGGTGAAAACGATACACTGGTTATGTTTGATCCTTGCACTAAAAAGCTTCAGGATTTCGGAATCCGCATGCCTAAGTACACAAGGCAGCCACCTGTTTATGCTGAAAGCATTGTTCCAATCAAGGAAATTTCAGAGTGTGGGGCAAAATTATGCCTCTAAGGCTTCAATAATATTGTTTCAAGAAGAAGAGAGTAGTATTCGATCCCTTTATTGTGTTTATTAATTACTATTGATTTTGGTCATAGATTTGATGATTTTGAAAATTTTTATTGTCCAATTTTTTTTTTTATTTATCATTTCTGGCTTTAATATTATTAGCTTTAATAATGGTAGATTTTTGTAATGTGGGCTGCTATTGAGTTTTGTGTGATAAAGCAATAGAAACCTTGATTAATTAAATACTAGTGTCTATCTTACATGAGCATGCTAGCTTGAACTGTTGAATCCATTGCATCATTGTGCCCTGCCATGTATTATTAACTAAAATTTAATTACATCATATACATATATAGTTTACTGGAAAAATCTATAGAGAAGGAGAGAAATTCAACTTTAAATTCCAGAACTTATAACTTCACAACTTCAACTTCAGATTGCAGAACCCCAACTTCTTCACATCATTGCATTCAAGACAATTTAGGTTACCAAGTCTCTTCAACTTTTGCCTTATATAGTTAGGTGTCTCACATTAATTAATGCTATAAATATGATGTAGCACTAGAAGATTGGCCAGGCAATAGGGAAATGTGTCATTTATCTTGCTGCTCCTAAGATTTAGCACTGCCACAACTATTTTATTGTGGTAATGGCCCTTTCTTTTCCAAATCATTAACATTAAGGTTAATACTCTTGAGTTATAGCTAGGTGTCTCACATTAATACTGTAAATTATTCCGATGCACTTTCAGGGAATTTTGCTTTAATCATGGCCATAGCATAAAAAGAAGTTTTAGAGCAGACCAAGAGAAGAGATTTCTACCTATTAACATCAGTGCATGCCATTTATTTTTGCTGGTATAGAACAAGCAAGTTTTCTTTTAAAAAAAAAATGTTTATTACCATTTAAATTTTGACAATACTATGCCACAAAGAGCAATGTAATTCAGAAA